AGTTGCTACTTATATATATGAACAACTCATCTGTTGCCTGAAAAGAGGGACAGCAGCTCAGTAATCCTTCTCGCTTCTGCTGGGCTTAAAAGAAACAGCAACCTATATCTGATTTAGAGAAAGGGTGTTTAGACACCAGCCTTCAAAGAAGAGCTTTAAGGCAGTGAATCTCCAGGGGAGTACATAAATCGTGATAGAGAGATGAGACTTAAGTGCACAAATCCTCTTTGTTTCCCTCTTAGATAGGCCTGGATGGTGTCACACACACTGTGTTGAGTTTCCTGGGCCTCACTCTAATTGTTACTGTGCATCTCCAGCATCTCGTTTCTTTTCTGAGGACCAAAGAAAATTTAGGCATGGTAATGCTGGTTGCTTTGATGCCTAAACTCACTTTTGGTATTTAGCCTCACATAACGTCTTTACTACTTATCTCTAAATACTTTTTATGATGCAAATTGTAAATTAGCTATTTTGGCATTGCTTTTTTAATTAAGCCTCATAATAGGTTGTAGCACATGTATCAAGCAATGTAGCAGACATCTTTTGGAAGCAGAGGTTATTAATGGAACAGTCACTCAGACATACTGAGTTCATTAAACTAAAACAGGCAATATGGATGTATCTAGCATAACCATAACCATCTTTCTACCATGTACTGTGTGCCAGGCAGCAGCAAGAGGGGGCTGCTCTGTAAGATGGGGTGAGCTGGGAGCTGAGGGTGACAGGGAGGCCGGTAAGGCACTGCCCTCCCCAACACGGCCCTGTCCTGCAGTACCCCAACCAGAACAGCAAAGCAGGTCTGGTGACAGTGACCACATTCCACCACAAGTCCAGATCATCAGACCAGTCCGTAGTGATGAGACAGGCTGAGTCTGAGGAGAGGCTCAGGATCGGTGCGGTTCAGGGCCAGGCACAGGCATGCTGTCCACACAGCTCCAGAAAGAAGCAGGGGCAACAGCTGGGGGTGAAACACAGCTCGCCAGCCAAGAGGATGAAGCTCCCATTGAGGCCCCTCACAGCTCTGTCCCACATAGCTCTTCTCGCAGCCATCTGACCCCAGGTTATGGCAGAGCTGGCCTTGGGTGCAGGCAGCCACATCGCTGGGGAAAAGTGGCTGCTGAGTCTCTGCAGGGCCCTGACACTGTGACCCAGAAATCAGCTTGCTAGGACAGCGATAGGTTAACTCAGGGGACGTGAAACCAGCCCAAGTAGTTGAGGCACTTTAGATGTAAAAGCTGTGAGCTTCCTCATGCTGAAAGGGGCTAAAATCCAGATTTCCCTCTTCCTGGGTGAGGGCTCCAGGTGCATGGTATGAAGATGGCCACCATGAGCCCTTTGGTTGTGTTTTTAAAGAAAACCTCTGGCAGTTCTCTGCAAGCAGAGGTGCTGTTGCCTGCCTTCGCCTGAGGATCCACAGCGCGGCTCCAGAGTGGACAGGGACTTCTGCCTTGGGGGTAGCAAAAAAGGGGAACTCAGATATACCACAGTCTTTCCTATTTGCATTATTTAAAGGGTGGCTACAAAGAGGATTGAGACTCCCTTTTTACAAGGAATCACATGGAAAAGATGAGGAGTAACGGGTACAAGTTATTCCTGGGGAGATCCTGACTGGACACTAGAAGAAAAATTTTCATAATGAGAACAATAAGCCACTGGAATAATCTCCCCAGGGAAGTGGAGGATTCCCCAACATTGGACACTTTTAAGATTCAGCTGGACAGGGTGCTGGGCCATCTTGTCCAGACCATGCATTTGCCAAGAAAGGTTGGACCAGATGATCCTTGAGGTCCTTTCCCACCTGGTACTCTGTGAATAAGTTGTAGGTATTTTAATTAGCTTCCATGATATTCAGCTTCTGTATCTCTCACGGACTTGAACCTGTAGTCTTTTATCAGTTGAAGTACCTAGAACTGGGTGCTGATACGCTGTAAACCTTTTGCAGGAGCTGGGCTTGACCATAGTGCACAGTGGTTTCTATTCAGGTGGGGGGCTCTAGTTCTCATTACAGGCAAGATGTAGGATCTGGACCATCAGACTTTTCCTACAGTACTTTAACACTGGAAAGACTCATCTATTTCACAGATGTATAATTACCCCTTTCCTCCTCTGTTCGGTTAATTCATGTGGCTGAACTATCCCTCAGCGATGCTGAAGACTTCTGCAGGAGGGAGGGAGGAGCTGCTCTTCAGGTTCTTCGCTACCTCCCCGACTGGAACGGGCTGCTGCTCCGTCACCAGCTGACCTTTGCCTTAAAGACTGATGCACTTCACAAAGGTGCAACAGGGCTGGTCCCCTGTAATTTGATTTTTGTTTGCCATGGAAAGGCTGGTTTGTTTGCTTTGCACTTAAGGTCCATGGTTTATTCAGGACTGTAAAACTCTTCAAAATCACATACAAGTAAATATGTGAAAAACAAACAAGGCTGAAAATTAGTCTGGGCAAAAGTGAGGGATGACTATTACTTAATAATGTATACTTACAAGATTTTATTCTGCAGCAGCAAAATATATTTTCGGCCCTCCAAATATTTTCTGTGAGACCATAAAATCCATAACTTTCTAAAAAACAAGTTAACTGTTTAAAAGAGTACTGTGCCTGACTTTCTACTTCTGGCTGTTGTGAATGACATCAGAGTATACTGAGGTCAGTGTTTAAACTGAAAGTCTCAGTTTAACTGTTATTATTGTAAACTGCTTAAAACTGGAAATGTTGAATTATAAAACTATGATAGGTAGATGGCACAACATTAAAGAAATGAATTCCATCGTTTAGAGCTTCCTGTCCTGATCCTCCTGAGCCAGTCCTGAAGTCTTTACTCATTTCCTTACTCCTGATTCATCAAAGCATTTAAAGGCTCTAGATTTCAGTGGGATTTAAGCATATGCTTGTTGATTCAACACTTTAATGAGAGAAAATCCTCACTGAAGTCAGTAGGAATTTTTGCCCCAAAAGACCTAAAGTTTCACTCTTTTTTTTTTTTAATCCTGTATTTGAGTCTGCACGACTTGAAATTGAGAATTTATGTGTTTGTTAGTTGTTGCTACGCGTCACTCCCTGCCCAAACCAGTTCTTTCACTTTGGCTATTCAATCTCTGGCTAGTAATATTACTGGCAAGAGGAATTTAACAGATGGAGTAGTGCTGGAGTAGGTGGAGACGTGTTAAGAATAAGGTTATAATAATTTGTTTCAGGTGCCTCCTCTTTAGATTGTATTTAAATACTATTAAGAAAGGCACACTTTTTCTTTATCCCCTATTGAACTGTCTCTACCATCTAAACATCTTGAAGTATAACGTAGCTTTATTTTCAATCGTTGTTTAGGTGTAAGTAAATTTTTGGGACAAAAAAAAAAGCAACCATGTGGGAAAACACTTGGAGAAAACAGAATGGAGAAATTACAAGGGAATGGCTCCTTAAATGTCACATAGCTGCTACACAATAACTTGATCGGCTGAACTGCAGCTCGCTGGTGTAAGCGCTCTTTTAAAAAATGTAGTGAGTGAGCAGTGAATTAAAGCTAGGCCTGTTCCTTAAAAATAAAGTTAGTTAATAAGTTTCCATTGGGTCCTCTCTTCAGTTTCTTCTGGATGACTTTGGCACAAGCCTGTTTGGGTAACGTGTCTCACAAATTAAATCTGTAGGATGTCTTTTAGAGGTTGACAAGACACGGGAGTGCTCCTCAGCTCCCCGCATCCGGGCATGCTGCACCTTTCTCCTCTGCTTTCTAATCAAATAGCAGTTGATTCAGCTGATTCTTTTTTTTTTTTATATTAGAAACAAACAAAACCACTGCTAAACTTCTTAGAAATGGTTCTGCTGTTTGGCCCGAGCTGCAGATTAATGGGGAAATAACATTTTTGGAAATCTGCAGCAAAGCGAGAGCTGGTTTTGGAAGGGGGGTGGATCGCTAGGGTAGTGTGAGACGGTGCAGTGACCTCAAACTCTCGCTGCTTTCCCTGCAAAGGGCATGAAATTCCCCAAGTTTTGCAAGGTGTCTCTTGCTTTACTGTTTTTTTAACAATAACTTCCTTAACCAGCGATGTACTTTCCTTAAATTTTCCACTGGGAAGAGCTCAAAACCACAGCCCTGCTGCTCTCAAACGGCTCAACACCATGGGAAGCAAGAAGCAGCCCTGATTCATTAGAGCTTCATAATTCATAACTTTGGGCTTTTCATAATTCGGTTTCGACGTTACGTTATTGGGGGTAGCGTTGATTAAGCCAGCAATGGCAGTCCCTGCCTTCGCGCGCGGGCTGCTAGGCCCTCCTTTGGCAAGCCAGAAAGCGTTTTCCCGGTGCACAGACAGGAGCAGAGGGGAGGGGGGCGGAGAGTGATGTTCAATTAGGGGATTTTGTGCGTAAAAATCAAAGAAATCCTGTCAGAAAGGGGACAGCCGTGCCCCGCGGCCCCCGCGGGGAAAGGGTGAGCGGCGGAACGCTTGTGAGCGGGGCCTGGCCCGCCGGCGGGAGCGCGCTGGTGGCGCACCCGTTTCCACGG